CAGCCTCCGGCAAAGGCTTTCTCTGATGCAGAACTATAAATTGTGGAGATTACATCCCAATAAAATCCAACAAATTTTAGTTAAATTAAAATAATTTTACAAAATATTTAAGCGCAATTGAACTTGCATGCTCGCCCCTCATTTTATTTTAAAGGAGCCTTAATTTTCCTGGCCTTTTTAGGTTTCAATGATTCCAGGAACACCTTAGCACGTTTCAATCACCCCCTTTATTTAGAATGAGCCTTTATTGCCATTTTTTGTTATTATTAGCAATTTTTATTAATTTTTCAGTCCTATAACTCTTCTTTTTAATTCAATATCTCGCATTAGCAGCCTCCGGTGGTTCCAGTCGTTAAATCTCCCATGCAGGTTATACCTAGAATTTTTTAGACTATTGACTATGGACTACAGACTCCATATTTACCGACAATTATCCTTACGTTCCGAGCTAAATTTGCGATTTGTGCATAATATTAACTATCAACGGTCGTCGTTTGTTCGGCAGTGTTGTTTAAATGTGTATATGTAATAGTGCACAGCCAAAGCAATCACTTTTTTGGTATACCTCACGTGTTACCGTTCGGCGCCTAATATGAAGTGTGTCAGAACTCTCGGGTGTTTTCAGAAGTGCTTTTTAAATTTGGGCTTGTTGAGATATGAACATACACTCCGTGAACCGAGTTGTTTTAATCCAAACAAGACTCCAAAATGGGTGTCCTCCCCAGACGAAATGTTCCACTCCTTGGAAAATGGTTTGTCATTAATTTAAAATTATTGCCAAAGGTTCGAATATCTTTGTTCAGGGCGGAGCAATGACGCCAACACACTTGGTTAAAGCTCTGCACAAATATGTCGTAGCGAACAATTTGAAAAACTTGAAGACGGTGCATATCCACACTGAGGGTGAATTTCCGTTCAACGACGAAAATATGAAAGGCATCTTCCGCACCGTTTCGCTTTTTACAGGTATTTTCGAAATATTTTTTTGCAAGTTTCTAGGGGGAAACTGTCGAAATGCGCTTAAGGAGGGTCGTGCGGACTATGTGCCGATTTTCCTTCACGAAATTCCTGGTCTTTTCAGGAAACGCGTAATCCCTCTGGACATCGCATTAATTAATATCTCACCTCCTGACAAACACGGCTACTGCTCTATTGGTGTCAGTGTTGATGTTACTCGGGGCGCACTTGAAGCGGCTAAAGTTATCGTTGGTACGTTTGTAAAGGCATCGAGAATAACATAATTATAGCTCAGGTTAATCCCCATGTCCCTGTTTGCAAGGGTGATGCTGAAATTCACGTTAATAACATTGACTACCTTATCGATGGACCCATGCCACTACATCAAATGGGCGAGCGTAAAAGCAGCCCTGCTGAAAAGCAAATTGCAAAGTTCATTGCGAACGAACTCATTACTGATGGCTGCACTCTCCAAACAGGTAATGCTTTAAATTTGTAAACCGTTTTCTGCGAACCCCGGATCACAGACTTTATTTTTCAGCTTTTCGCTTTAATTTTAGTCAATACCTCTTACTTTCAAACTAGTTAGATTTGTAAAAAAGCATCGCATTTTTGTGTTTAAATACTTTCTAAGCCCTTACCTTTGCCTTTTTCGATTTCGTCACGAAACATTCTTTTCATCCATCCATCAATCTCCTAACTTTAGCAGCCATTGCCCTGAGGGCATGTTGTATATTGTTTGCGCGCTCGCAAAGAATATGGGCCGACGATTATCTGCAGATATGTCGCACTTTTAGAATCGCTATTAGTAATAAACGACGATGGAACATGTAGCAACTGCAGTTCTTACTGCTGCTGTTCTACTAAAGAGTTTTATTTTCTATGATCCACTGAAATCTAGTGTACTCAGTCGTACGACTATATCCACTTAGTAGTTGCTGCGTCTTCCATGGCTTTTCATTTCAAAAACGCATTTTGTAGGAATTGGATCAATCCCCGATGCCGTATTGGCTCTCTTGACAAAACACAAGGATCTCGGAGTTCACACCGAATTATTTTCCGACGGACTGGTTGACCTTTTCAAGACTGGAGCCGTGACTAATGCTAAGAAGAAGCTTCTACCTGGGAAAATTGTCACTAGCTTTGTGATCGGGTCCAAGAAATCTTTTGATTTTTCCGACGGAAATGCCTGTGTCGGTAAGTTTGCAACCTCAGATTTGTAGATTTTTGGCCGAATATTGAGTCTGGCCGACAAATTTTACTTCGATCTCTAATTTCCGCTAACTTAACTGATAACGGTAGCCTCGCGTAGCTAGATTTCATGCATTTCCACTTGGCAGACAAGAATTATTATGTGGACTTTCGAAGCCGCTGCATCAGACTGGTACTGTTGTACTAATATTCGTGCTTGAAACGGATGAAACTAATCAGGTCTAGTACTCGTAATATTGCGGTGTGATGAACAGTTACAGCGAGCAGATATTTATCCCCCCTAGATAATTAATCTAGGTATGTTGTTTTCTAACTTTCTTAAAGGACAAACGAACGTTAGCATTTGTGTATTATTGGCCGTAAAAAAGGGTTTTCAGTCGTAAGTCGTACTTGCGCTTGGTACAGCTGCGATCATTCCTGAGCTAGCCGGCCTCGATGATGCCACGGACTCGACCTATCCATGCCAGCAGATCTGAACTGATTACCTCACTCTTTGCTAGTGACCGAGATCGAATACCGATAGAATACCCACTTCAATGTCTTCACGCACTTCATCTATCCATGTTTTGGTTTGCTTCCCTCCACGAAGCCTCTAAGTAAGGAAGTGCCAGATTGAGGGTACTTACACTTAATTCGCCAGCAAGACGACGATGAATCTGTTTAAACCCAGTCATCAGGAAAGACATCGTCTATTCCCGCATTGTCGATTACCCAACGGAGTCCGAACGCGAGTGTCGATACAAGACATGTAGATTTTAGTGAATATACCGTCCTCTCCGGATGCCTTATTGTGTATGGCATTGACATTCTTCGAAAAGAGGTTCGCATGATGCTTCGTAGATTGGAGAGGGAAAAAGTCCGCAGAGAAAAAAATACATTATGGATTAAACCTCGAAGTTGAGGTGCTCAAAGTGTTCACACTTTCGTTTGCCTTTGATCGAATTGTCAAAAATAAAGCTGTAATTTATGTTGCGAACCGAGTTAGTTAATGCAGAGGACTTATTACTAAGTTGAAAAAACACGGTTGTTTTTTTGTTGGGAAAGAAGTAACGGATGCTGCAGCCTCTTCTCGGCATATTTTGAAATTTTAACTGAAGAAATTCTTCCCCGCCTGTTTTTTACAGGAAACAGAATTTCCACTACACCTGCGCGTATTCGCAAATGATGCTTTGAAATTAATTGCATTTAATTCAATCGTCTAAGCATGCTTTTCTTGTCGGGTTGTAATTTGCTAGCAACATGAGTGTGACAGTTAAAATATTCTCGTAGATGAATTTTCGTGTATATACTAGACACCTGTTCGTACTTTCATGTAATTTATACTTCTAGTCCAGGCCTAGCATCCTTCCTTAGGAATTTGGGTGGCAATACTTCAACAAAATGTAGTTACTCTGATATAGTTATTCTGATCCGACATCTGTAATCCTCGTTAGCACGTTCCTGACCCTTCAAAAACCGACTTAGTATACCCAAACCATGGTATTTACATCACCGCAGGAAACAAAACCAGATGTTTAGAATTCAAGTCGTTTTTTGACGTTTGTCGATTTTAATGTGGGTCCTTTTTTGCTGATAAATTCCATTCCAATAGCTCCTGACTTTTTCTTGTATAATCCAATTATACCTTCCATAATTTATAATTTCCCTAAAAAATCCTGATAGAAAGCACTTATTTCTCAAGAACGATATCAAGTGTAAAATTGTCCGCCCTTGCCGAGAACAACTCACGCTTTTTCCTATTTCTAACAGATTTTGGATAAAACTCGCACATTTTAAATGAGCTTTTTCGTTTGACAGAAATGAAGGATGTCGCTTGGACTAATAATCCAATCAACATTGCTCAGAACCCCAAGCCTGCAGCCATCAATTCTTGTATTGAACTGGACCTGACTGGACAGATAGTTTCCGATTCTATCGGCACTCGAATATACTCAGGTT